ATTTCCGTGGCGGCTCCGCTGCGGGATCCGGTGCGGTTTGGGTTTTTTACGCGTTTTCCATCCCCATATGAGGCGTCTTCGCCTTGTGGGAATGGGGGAGCAAGGGAGGGTCTTGTGAGCGCGCAGGAGGTTAATCGCATCGCCGCGATGGCGGCACATCCGGTAACGAAATTCCTTTTTGACCGCCTCATTCAGGAGCCAGCGTTGGATCTCTTCATCCACGATGGGCTGTCGACTGATAAGACACCCGACCAGGCATTAACCTCGCTGGGGGGTGGTGAGAAGATGCAGCCTAGTGGAGGTGCTCAAACCTTCATTCTTGTTTTGGACGACCGAAAAAGACTTGAGGATGCGATTGCCGCCGTTTCTTGCGGTTCACTTGATTTTAACCCACTGGAAAGGCTACTTCGGCCGTCCACAGCGCCAACGGTTCTACTGTATTCTCCTGACGATTGGGAAAGTGGTGAGATTTTAATGGAAATACCGGGCCCTAAGAACAACACTGAGATTGTGACGCTGCGCTTCTTTGATCGCTCTTTTTTGGAGTTGCTATATTTGCCAGTGTCATCGGTGAAACCCAATGAAGTTTCGGAGGCTGATGCTGTAGTATCAGTTGAAAAAATGGACAACCTTACCGTCGATCATGTCGATTCAAAAGGCCTTTTGAGCACCAACCGCATTGCTTCCCCCTCCGACTCCTGCTTCTGTGAGGTGTCCCCGCTTGTGGGAAGCGCGAATGGGCGTGTTTACTATTATATATCAAGCGATGAGTCTGTTTCTGACGGATAGGAATCTGTATTTTGGATACTTCCTAAGCTTTTATGGATGGGCAAACCAATGTGATTACCGATGATGCGAGTGTAGAAAAAGACGTGAATCGTGTACTCAGGCAAAAACACTACCACGCTGGGTGTTGTGTTTAATGCAATGATAGCGGTGGAAATCTTGAACTCTATAGAAACACCTATATATATTTCATCAAAATAACCATTATTTTTTTCCTTTCTAAATAAATAATCATTAGACAATTACTCTCGCACCTTTGAGCTTCAGCATCTGGGAGGCTGTTGCTGAATATAGATTTGTGGTTGGCGTAGAGTTAAGCTAACTGATCCTACTTAAGGGGGTTACTTCACCCCTACGACACCATAGCTTTTTATCTTTTTGTATCCAATAAACTAGATTGATGCACTGGCAATAGGATTCCCTCACGTTTTTTGTGTGTTTATATTCATAATATTGAACTTGTAAACTATTTCTACTTCTTTCCCTTCTTTTAAAGAATGCAGTATATATCCCGTCCTAGAAAATCAGCTCAACACCATGCATGCAGAAACATCCATCGCCACCACGGATTCCGTTCAAGACTGCTATTATAAGGAAGTTTGCTTGGACTTTCAACCGGTCGAAGCCACACCAGTGGCTCACATGCTTCCGCTTCTCGAGGGACCCTCGGCGGGGGGAAAAGACACTCTAAACACGATAATGCAGCATATCGTCAAGGAAACGCGCCGTCATGGTGCCGAGGTGTGCACGTTTCCTGTTCAATGGCGATGCCAAACAGGGGAGGAGATCCAGCGGCAGTTGATCCCCATGGTTTCCCATTATAGAATCCAGGGTTTGCTCGTTCAAGAACGCACCCGGCGTCTCTCGATTGAGGTGACACAGCTTGCCTGGCGTCATAATTTGATGTCCGCCTTCAATTACACCGCATCGCTATCGCAGAGGCTCTCAATGTATTGGACCCAGCTGCGCCGTCAGGTCGAAACTCGACCTTTTAATTCCGACAATTTCAATAAGTTTTCGTTGTCTTTGCCAAACACCTCAAGATGGTCCGAGGCCTCAAATGTTGTCGACGCCCAAGAGCATTATGCGACATTCTCTATGCATTCTACGATCAGGAGCGATAGCAAGGGGTGTAGTGGGTCGACATCCTTCCCTTCTCATTCTAGTTTTTTTTCGCCGTCGCTTCAAACTCCTGTTCGCTACGATGCAACCTTGACTAGGGAGTACGAGAATTAGCACCACCTCTAAAGCTACCAATTATTAAATCAAAAGCAAACAAAGTGTAGAATTCAATGAAGTGTCGAGAAGTGCGGGAGGAGCTAAGAAATCCCAAATGACTGTAGTACGTATGGATTCATACCTTTTGGAATCAACAGTATTTCTAAAGGCCATACTTCGGGATCTCACATTATCTTGTGTGTGATTCATGCATGAAGGATTGACTTGCCTCTTGGGGAAATATGAACGTGCGCAGTCGGCGCGTGATGGTGGGTAGGGAGTGTGATCTTCAATGAAGACATCTGGGGTTACTTTAAAAGACATTTTTTCACATGTACACTACAAATTTTTTTTGTCTATACATACATACATATATATATGTTTATATTGTTATTTTTCACGACGCGACATCACGTGATGTCTTGCGGCACACCTTTTTGTCTGTGCTTTTGCATTCAATGTTTTACTATTATAGTGTATCATTATTCGTCGATCCATCGTACGACAACACCTTCGATGGGATATAGGCTAGAGGAAGTTGTCTTTATGGTTGGCTTGACTTTTCGAAACGTTCCCTGCTTTGTTTTCTATATTTTCAACTACTGGTCATTTCTTTCATACAAACCCGGTATTCATCAAAGCAGAGATTGACACTTATATCGTCATATCTTTGTTGACCACTTTTCTAAATTGAGCTCGCATGTGCAGTTTTTCCTTTTGCGTATAAGAACTGATCGTGTCTTTCTCTTTTCGTTAGTTTATGTTTTTCACCCTTCCTCCCCTTTCTTCTTTATGTAACTTTATTAGCTGCAGTGAATAGTTAAGATTGATATATATATATATATATATATATATCCCATACTAATGACGCAAAACGGTCACCCACAGGGGGGTTCCCTTTTCCAACAGATGTACTCCATCCAGCAGCAACAGCAGCAGTTCCCGTATCCCCAACCCTACCCTGCCCCTGGTGTAGGGGGGAGCGCGCCACCCCACACGACCCCTCTCCACGCGGAAAGGATGAATGGCGGTGGGATCCCTCTTCCTCCACCACCACCACCACCTCCTCCCGTTTATTACCTCCCCATCCCTCCCCCCTCCCCACCGCAACCTCAGGATAAGGATTATTATAAAGGCTTCCACGACAGCGTGGTGCGACCCTCCGGGCCGATCTGGGGAAGTGCCGTGAGCTGGATCGCCCCGGTGGTCGTGAATATGGCGCTTTTTATTCTCCCGATTTGGTATTTTCGCCGGAAATACACCCAGTCCATGGCGGCCGCCGGCCTGAAAGGGCAAAAGTCAAACAATCCCATGAGCGGCCTTATGGAGGCGATGAACCCGATTAAGACGAAGCATTTCCGCACAGAAGTGAAAGGGACGACCTTCAAGGACGTTATCGGGATCCCAGAGGCGAAGGAGGATCTGAAGCAGTACGTGGATTTTCTCAAGGACCCCAAACGCTTTACGCGACTGGGTGCGCGGCTACCCAAAGGCTGCCTCCTAACAGGGAAGCCGGGAACTGGAAAGACGTTGCTCGCGAGGGCGTTGGCAGGGGAGTCGAATACGCCTTTTTTCAGCTGCTCTGGCGCTGACTTTATCGAAATCTTCGGCGGGAGTGGCCCGAAGCGCGTGCGGGAGTTGTTTGAGGAGGCAAAGGCGGCCGCCCCTTGTGTGGTGTTTATCGACGAAATTGACGCGATCGGCTCGCGCAACCAAGGGGGCCGCTCCATGGGCAGTGGTGGGAGCAGCGAGGAGAACCGCACGATTAATCAACTCCTCGCGGAGTTGGATGGACTTTCGAGCAACGAGGCGGTCGTCGTGGTGGCCGCGACGAATTATCCCGAGGCGCTTGATAAGGCCCTTCTCCGGGAGGGTCGATTTGATCGCAAGGTGAACATCCCCATGCCGGACCCCGCGGCTCGCTGTGAGCTTTTTCAGTTCTACCTCAACACCATCATCACTGGGGATGCGAACTGCAAGCCGAAGGTGCAGATTTTTAAACCCCGTGCGACAGGAGAGAATCCCGATGCGGAGGCTTCCCCCCCCCCTTCGGAAGACGTCGTGCGCGACATAAAAGTGGTACCAGGGGTGAGCAACTTGGAGTACGCGAAGGTTTTGGCGGATCGCACGCCCGGAGTTTCCCCCGCGCAGATCGCGACCATCGTGAACGAGGCCGCCCTGAACGCGGCGATGCAAGACAAGGAGCTCGTCCCTTTGGAGACGCTGCAGGAGAGTATCGATGACGTCTTGATTGGCAAAAAACACCGACAACGGATGAGCGGGGGGGCGTTGCATCGCACTGCATTTCACGAGGTCGGGCATTGCATCCTGGCGTGGATGAATCCGCTTCAGAAGGATGTGATCAAGCTTTCCATCATCCCGCGCGGGCGCGCCGGCGGCTACACGCAGCAACTCCAAGACGAGGCGATGGAGCCGCATACGGAGGCGCACCTCTTCTCCCAGCTCTGCGTGCTGATGGGCGGGCGGGCGGCGGAGCGGATTTTCGAAGACGACATTTCCATCGGCGCAATGGACGACCTCCAGCGCGCGACGCGTTTGGCGACGGAGAAAATTCTGCAGTACGGGATGTCGAAGAGCCTCGGGCAGATCGCGTTTAAGCCGAACGACAAGAACGACGGGCGGGCGTGGATGACGTGGTCGGAGGACCTCCATGAGAAGGTCGAGGCCGAGGCGAATGAGTGGGTCGCGGAGGCGTATGAATACGCCGAGAAGTGTCTTTTGGCAAACCGGGATGCCCACGTGAAACTCGCGGAGCTTCTTTTGGATAGGAAGGAGCTGAATAAGGATGATATCGAGAGCGTGTTGGGGAAGCGCCCCACCACGCCCGTTCCCTTCCCCCTTTGATCGATCTGCTCATGAGTGGGGTACCACGTCTTTGAAATTGAATAGTCTCCTCTGATAATGTTCGTAACTTCAAAGGGTTTCGATGCCCTGAGGTGATGTGGGACGACTCTTTTTAAGCTTCTTTTGAATCGAAAAGTTTTGTTGTCAAGATTTCGCACCCTTCTTCCCCTTCCCCCCTCACAGTTTGTAATAAACGAAGATTCCATTTAGTATTGAGGGTGAGAATTTTTGAATAGGCGAATGGTTGATCTATCTATCTATCTATCTATCTATATATATATATATGTTGGAAATACATCATTGCGTTTCTTCTGTTGGAGCATAATGCAATGAACTAGGAAATAAACTCCATCTCTACCGGTAGCATATGGATTACATAAAAAATAGCACTTTGTCTCAGGACGCATGCTGTCCATTTTGAGATGTGTGTCTTCACAACTTATACGTTTGAGAGGGTATTACCCTATACTTAGAACTTAGCTGCCTTTTTAAATCTTCTTTTGGAGGTGTTGCATGTAAACTCCAAGTCCTTTACGGTGTCCTTTTTTATTACTATCGCAACTTTCTTTTTACAGAAAAACTTCTTCATGTCTACCAAAAACAATCAATCTGGCCACATATACACAGGGAAGGTTGTCTCTTTCTGTAGACGGTGTCCGTATAAGTTTCAATGAGCGACATTCCACAGGATATATACACGCTATCTCATCAAACACGCAGTTTATTTTTGGTTGTGGAGAAGTTGTCGAAATTGATATATGAAATCCAAACTCCATTACCAAAGCTTATGCTACCCTGTAAAGCGTGAAGAATCAGCTCATGCATTCAAATGTGGGACTATTTAAAAGGTTTTGACTGATATCTTATGCAGCACTCCCAGTTTCTCAGGGGAGGCAGGGGGGGGAGGGAGGGCACGTTTTCGTGCGCTTTCGTTTTTTTGTGTGATCTTGTTTTGGAAGATATTTAGGTGTCTTTCGACTGACGGATGCTCTCATTCCCCTGTTACAGCATCCATGGAGGACGTCGTCGAGCAGGTGCCGCCACTGTTGCCTGCTGAACCGGATGGTCGATGAGTTTTTTTTTGAAGCAAATTGCTCTAAACTACCACTACCTTCTCTTTCCTATCGCCAGATTCTACCACGAGAAATAAGTGCTTTACGCTTTACAATGTAGGAAGGTGCAGTGGGCGAAAGACGTTCTTAGCATGGACACGTCCTTTTTATAGAAATAATTCAAAAGTTGGCACAAAGGTTACGGCAGAATGTTGAGGCTGTTTTGATTTGTGCGTTTCCTATGAGAAGCGTGCGCTATCCCTCTCCCCTCTTCCCCCTAAGGACACCACTTCTTACTTTTAAACATGCATTAAAAAATTTTAGGAGTCTTTCTATATCGTCTACCTTCTCGAAACGTGCTTATTCCTCACGTGCAAATCTAAATAGTATGGAACGATATGCCAGGAAAATATATCGGAAAGGTTAATCCTGGAAGAAAAGTTGAAGATTATTAGGAATGTTGAATAATTCTTTAAACTCTATGAAGGCTAGAAGATCAATTATAAATGAAAACCAAGCAATACTCAACCTTTGGTCTTCTCAGTTTTTTATCTCTCAAAAAGGCCTTTCGATAAAGATTTTCATATTTCCAAAATAAAATCTATTTAGTTAATAGCGATCAGGGTAATAATATTATTACGGAGAAACAGAATGAGTGAACAGCATCGCCCCGCATGGAATCACTTGAAATCAGAACGACAGGCGGCATTCTCTAATAAGGTGAGAAAGGCTTTTTTAGATGAGGGCCGAAAGCGCAAAGATGAGGAGCGCGCGCGCATGGAGGCATATCGGCGCCTTTGCGCTGAAGAAGGGATTGAATCAAAACGTCTGAAGGAGTATGATCAGGCGCGCGAGGAGGCTTCTGCGCGGCTAAAGGAGGCTTTAGAAGCGGTCGATTACGACCAAAGCCTTACTAACAATGAAAAGAAGAAACGGAAATATAATTTAAAGCGAAAGTTCGCCGCCACGACTGTAAATGAGAGTATTAGCAAGAAATATAAGCCCCACACGGCTGTCACTGACATTGAAATAATTCAAAAGAAGAAGGAAGAAATGAGGAAGAACATCAAGCAGGCTCGAGAGCAACGGAACCGCGAAAAGGCCTCTAAACTTCAGCTTCGGAAGAAGCGGACGGAGTTGTTTAAGCAGCGGACTAAGCGTGGACAGCCGGTACTTGCTAGCAGGGTGGAATCTTTACTGCAAAAGATAACACGTGAAAGCTGAAAAGTAATATATATATATATATTAAGCCTATAGGGATATGATGCCTTTAACTGCTTCTTTTGTTCGACGAGTAATAAATACTTAAGCAATTGGTGTTTGTTTTTATTCGCATAAGCGCGTTTGTTTCCGTTACCAAGTCACCATATAGTTCTTTATATTTGTTCATCTTACAGCTAACTGTAACTTTTGGTTCGATTTTATTCTATTATCAAAAGGTTTTCTTTGATAAGGCAATATTCATCCGATAATTTATAGATCGATAGATATTGTGTTTGCGTGTGCATGCTATCAAATACGTATAGGCTCAAGATGAAAATACGAGTTTTGGGATATATTTTTGGTCTATTTATCATTGCGGTTGGTGTTATCTTCCCTTTAGTTGCTATGAGCTTACGGTCCAGGGCAATATTTCGACGCGGCAGTTTAAACTCTCCGTTACTTCACTAGTGAAGGCTTCAAAACCAAAAGACAGTTTCTGTTGATCTCCTCTGTGAATCAAAGGAGCACAACGACTTCAATATCAGAGCGATACAATGGGGAAGGTTGCAAATGATTTAGGAACCGCTCTACACTATTTCATGACCATAGTTGGAGAGGGAAGACTCCCTTATGGTCTTATGATAACACAATTAAAGTACGATTTTCGTCTGCAGACTCTCTAAAATTTGACATGCTCGACCAATATTGTCTGTATAGAATTTAAATTAGGAAGCAAAGGGTGTTATTTCCCTTCAAGAAGGCCGATTGGTCGAGAAATATATCCTTTTCGTAATTCGATGATTTTATTTTCGCAAATGTGTCTGCATACGCGTGAATTTCACTTATTTTCCATGGTTGTACCCATGTGTTTAATGTTGAATTAGAAGATTAGTGAGCAATTTTTAACAACCTCCTGGTTGTTGGTGATCTCTTCACATTTTTCAGGCTGATATTTTTTCTTACCTTTTTTATTACACATTCAACTGTGTGGTACCCTCACATTTCTCTTTTCGATGAACTGAATCCGAAAGAGCATTAAAAAAGAAACCCCAATTATTTCACTAACATAGACTAGGCTAGGAGTTGAAGTATGGCTGATGCACCTAGCGCCAATGCATTAGATTTCTGGAGCGACACAATCAAGGCGTATGAGCCGCTCCACCTGCCTTATCCGGAGCTCACCGTTAAGCGGCTACAGAAGCCACCCTTTCGATTTATTTATGACATCGTGACTGCTATTAACATGCGCTTTTCCGCCTATGACCATGTCATTCCTGATGAGTTTAACGACTCCTCAAACATAGACACGAAGGAGAAAAAAATCGAATACCTTCGGATTCTCATCGACTACGTTTCGAAACTCCTGAATATTACGCTTAGTGTGAACCCTAAAAAAGTCATATCTGGGCATGAACCAGAGAAAACTAACTTATTCTTGCAATGCTTAGCAAATGCCTGTAGGCTTGCCCAGCAAGATAGGGTTAAAGCTAATACAAGGCAGTCGAATAGCGTAGTACCAACTGAACCAGAATCGAACCCCCTCCATGTTTCGTCTCCCATGAAAGTGGCTGCCTTTGAGGGCCGAGAGCTGCTACCACGACGGAAAAAAAGCAGCCAATCTGCGCTGCAACTCCAGGAATCCTGTAACCAGGCTATAGCGAATTCGAAGGCATTTACCATTAAGCTCTCTGCGCTTTCGATAAACGTGCAGGGAAAGGAGCAGCAGAGCATCAAAGAAATGGGAAATAGCATCGTGAATATGTGGAAGGAACTGCAGAATCCCAAAACGGATGTTGCAGCTTCTCCCTTAGCAAAAGATGCGCTTGCGGTGGCTATTAAGCGGCAGATGGATAAACTTAAACAGCTACAGGAACTAATCAAAGAAAGTGATGTGATTATTGATAATCTCGAGTCTTTTCTTGTTTAATTACGATACGATGGTTCGAATTTCATAAATGAAATTAATAATTCGAAAAAAAAGCAACAACTAAAACGATTTATGTAGTATATCTTGTTCAATCGGTTTCATTGCGTTGACAATTGCAAGGCAGATGTGGTGCGTAGGGGGTGGCTAACGATTGGGTGAAGTCGGTTTCGGGTATAGAGGTGATATTCAAAATCTCAATACGATGCCAATCCCTATCTATATCTATATCTATATCTCTTTCTTTCTGCTTATGTTTGGGGGCTGAAACACATAACCATTCTCATTTTGAGAGCGTGAAGAAAAGGAGAATAAAAAAAGTTTACGAGACCATGACGGCTGATACAAGCTCAGCCCTCACACGCCTTCAACCACCGAGCTCGCCTCTTTCCACGACGGGCGATGTCGCCATTCTCGAGGGCGGCAGCCTACAGGATCGCCTCAAGGCCTTCGGGCAACGCGCCGCGCAGCTCCAACGCGAACTCGCCACCCACGGCCCCGGCCTTGACGGGGCTTTTCAGCGCGCGTTATGGGATCTTTTGCGGGAGATGCGGCCGTTTTTATTTCTTAACGTGCCCGAAGTGGCAGGGGGGGAGCTCCCAAAAGAGGTGTGGCGTTATCGCACAGGGGATACCCGGCGGGATTTACGGCATGTTCACCTCGCGCTCCGGCTGTATCTCGCGGTCCTTCGGCTTACGTTGTTACTTCCCGCGGCGTGCTTTCACGGCGGTCTCACCCTCCTCGCGTTGCTCCCGCGTTTGGCGGATCCACATCCGTCCGTTCGTCGCGAGACCACGCGTTATTTAGAGGGTCTCACGCTTACTTTTCTCGCAATTTATAATCACGATTTGGAGGGGTTTCAACGGCTAATGAGGGCGCTTTTCTCCCCGCATGCGGGGGAGGGGGGGGCGGGGAATTTCACCCCCCGCCCTTCCGCCAAGCAGGGGGATCCTGAATACGGGAAATGCCTCCTTGAGGTACCCCCTTCTCCCGCCGCGATGCGCGAACTTCGCGCGCTACTTCTTCCCACACTCGATGGCGAGGGAGAGGCGCGGGAAATCGCCGCCGATTGTATTCTTCGTGAGCTTTTTCGCTGTCGAATTGCGGCGACGACGACGTATGAGGTTTGCTCCGCCGCTTTTGGATTTTCCGCGTTGGTGAATGAGATTCTTGGTTGGAACGGGGCGATCGCGTTGGAGGTTCGGCAGGCGTCTTCCCTCGTTGCACTCGCCTGTGGCTTGATTTCAAGCGAGGTGGGGGAGGAAAACGCGGCGAGAGGGGGAAGTCGAACGCTCGACCCTCGGCCCATGAAGCGGGCGAAGCTCGATGACGGCGATCGAGGAAACGATAAAAATAAAGAAAAAGAAAAGGAAAAAGAGAATCCAAAAGAAGAAGAAGAGGAGGAGAGAGCGGCCTCACCCACTCGAATTCTCCACGCGGAGGCCTGGCGGCTGCTCACGGGGCTGCTCGCGAGGGGTTCTCTTCGCCATGCAAACCACGCCCCCGCGGTGCTGCGTGCGGTGGTGGAGTGGTGTGGAGGCGAGGGCGGCATCCCTCACGCGGCAAGGTGGGAGAAATACTCCTCTTCTTCCGCTCCCTTCCCTCCTTTTTCTGCTTCTTCTTCTTCTCCTTCTTCCCCTGCTCCTCTTTCGTCGTCGTCGTTGTCCTCCTCGCTTTCCTCGACGACAGGGCGGGTCCTTCGGCTGTTGGAGTGGATTTCCACCGAGGCGCCCCCGTCGCCGTGGATGCGGGAGCTCTTCCGCCAACCCCCCCTCCTCGAGCGCGTCGTTTCCGTCGTGATCACCGCCCTCGAGGGGCTCCCGTTTTCCACCGCGGAAAGCGCGGAGGCCTCCTTCGCATCGCGGGCGAGGGTGTGGGTCGCTTCGCGGCTTCTTTCCCTCTTGGAGGCAGCGGCCAGGCTCGTGGAGGGTGGGGTTTGCCGTCGATCGCTCCTCCTCGACGCCTACGCGCGGCCGCTGTCGACCCACGTCGAGCGGCTGCTTTCCCGGCGGTTGCCGTGTTTTGCCTGGCGGGAAGGGGGTGTGGGCTCGTCCTCGTCGGGGGATTCCGTTTTTGTTGTGCATCGCCTCATCCGTTTCTTCCCTCGCGGGCTTCTCACGCCGTGGCTCGAGGAGGCGAGCGCGATCGCACAACGCGGCCTTTCCAGCGCCGCGTATAGCGTGGTGCGGGCGAATATTTTAGGATGGCAGCAACGCCTGCGAAGGGCCTGCGCGACCGAGGACGAGGAGGCGGCAGGGGCGGTTGAAGAGTTGACGGAGGCGTTGTGTGAAACCCACCAGGATCTTCTCGCGAGCCCGGAATCCGATTTTTCGTTGTTCATCGAGGCTTTTATCATCTTGTTTTATTATTACTCGCGTTCAGGGTCTGCCACTCCTGAGATGGCGGCGGCGTCGCCCGTCCTGCGCATTCTCACCACCGTGGAGGCGAATCTCACGAGGTCTCCTGCCTCCTGGACGCAGGTTTCCCACGATGGGTGGTTTTTGTTTTCGAAATTTCTCGTGGAAAGTCTTCCGATCCCATCGATGGAGACGGCACGTGCGCGGTATCGCACCCTCCGACGCGTTTTGTGCAGCCCTTCTTTAGACGACTCCACCGCGGTGGGGTTTGGGTTTCGACTGTCTGGGATCATGGCGGGGTACACGACGCGGTGGGGTTTGGTTTTGCGCAACGGATTCGCGTTTTTCCCCGAGAAGGCCGCGCGATCGCGCCGGTGGGAGGCGCGATGGCCGCCCACGAGCCCCTCCACGACCGAGCGGAAGGCGCTTCAGGCCTACGCGC